GTCTAAGCAAGTCAACCAAAAGAGCTAGTATAGAGAACTTGGCATACCTCAGTCAAGTATGGAAGGTCATGTGAAAACGTTTACTGTACAAGCCCTATCGATTACAATTTGTGCAGGCTCTAAAACCTAATGACAAAGTGAAGCGTATTGAATTTTGTCATGATACGCTATACACAAGATGGAGGATGACTGATTTCTAAGGAGGGGGGACATATTGAACAAGGGAAACATATCGAACATTTATACTGTAAATATGTAGAAAAAATTGAATCTTTTTATCTTCATTAGTGCGCAAATTACTCATTTTGAATGCACACTTAAATAAATAAGATTTTAATTAATTGGGTCCATCATTCAGAATAACCCTGTTTATTGATAGGAATTCTCAGATAGACGATCACGAAAAATCTGCCGTCAATTAATCAAATCACTAATCCAGTAATAAGTTCATTTGTCAGAGTCATCGAACTCAAAGATGTACTTTGTATTCTGTATCCAAGATAGCGTGCGGTGCACGAATCAATTAACCATGGATTTCTTTATCCTTGTACCTCAATTGAGATAAATGGGGGACCGTTCTTGATGCCCTCTGAGGTTAAATTTTTGAGTAAACATTTTTGAAAACTGTTTGGCGAGTATATATGAGCACTCATACGCTGGAATTACTAGGTATATGTGAAATAGTTAACTTGACTGTTTTTCTAGTTTCACAATAGCTGAATCTCCGATCATAAAACTGCTGAAAGCCTTTTAGCGAGATTTTTGGGTGAGCTCTTCAATAATACATTCGAATCAACATCATTCCCGAATACAAGTGCGACCGACGTTTTTTCTATTAATTTTTTTTCACTATCTTTGGTTCGCCAAGTAGAGATTTCGTGTAAGTAGAAGTCACCAAATCGTGTAATCCCAAATACGAGTGGGATTCCAACAAGATGCCATTTCGTTTCCAGAATACTAACTCGGAACGACGCGAACTACTAACTTTTTCGTGGGACCTCCACCGCTGTTGCCAGGTCCAGGATCTGAACTGGTCGACTGGAAGCGCACAGACATGAGATGCTGCTAACAACAGTTTATTGCATTAGTTTGATACACGAGCACATCAAAGTTCTGCTGCGGATTCAATACAATTATGATTTATACAGCATATGTCTAAGAACGATTAAAATAATTATCTAGCAAGTTATGCACTGGTAAATATATAATAGGAATATACCCGACCAAAAAGGTCAGGGATATAAAACCTTGCATCTTGCTTACGGCATTGAACCTCGACCTCAGGATATAGGCAAAGTCATTTAAATTCATTGCAGCACCAACTTAACCTTAAATCTTATATAAATGTTATTATCTAAATTGTGTGAGATAATTTTAAACAATTATCCATTAAGGAAGTTTCGAAACACAGTATTTTCCTCTTCAAGTGATTATGGTTATAACAGACTTTCGTGTAGCACGAGTTTATCATCAACAGATAATGAAATAACAAAAGGACCTATTCGCTTTTCAAAATACAAAGTTCAGCCTCCAAAACAATCTTTAAACCGAATAATGCACCATTTATCTAATAATAGTTAGCCCCAGTAGTGTGAAACGAATCGGTCAGTAAAGGGTTAAGCGCGCCATGACAAGTTGTTGCATCACAGTTCGGGTTCGAGCCAGCACTAGAATGGACATGACTGAGCCACGGCCGGGTTACACACGCAGTCTGGGATGCCCAGCCTACCCAAGGTCAGCACCAGGTTCACTTTCGTTTGACGCGAGACTCAAGCGACCAAAGGTTAGCTAAAGTCTGTCGATTTTTCATAGTAATTTGTCTGATATAAATCGGAACCTGCATTTAAAAATTTACCACGATATTAGAAAATATAACGTCGATATAGCTAATTCAACGCCAATAAAATCATGATCGGCAGTTACATAATCAAATTTGATACAGAAATATCATGGATCGATTCTGCGGCAAAATATTTCAATGTCAGACGGAACAATTATAAAGAAGCAACGAAGACGAAAAATTGCCCAACATTATGGACGACCGCTGAATAATTCACTACAAAGGGAAATATGTGTCTGCCAGAAGTCACTAGAAAATCTGGATAAATTATAATTCTTCACTAAATCGAAATAAATCATGTCTGCGCTTATATCTTCCGACATCAAACCGTTAATCAGATAGCAATCTTTGTTCTCCCGTGAACTCTACTTCAGACGTGTTCTGATCAAATCTATTTTAATTTTGTACCATTTAAAGCAATCAATTGTTTCGTTACTCACGGTGACGCTGAAAATAAAACTCTCTATTATAAAATGTTATCACTTATTACATGACGAGTTAACCTTTCAAGCTCAAGACAATCGTACGATAATCGCTGTCCATTTTAGACAATTTTGATGCCACTTATAAGAGTACGAGCATATATGTAATTAAAAGTATGGCCCCTACAGGCGATCAAGTAATTATATTACTCCATCTTTTTGACAGAGATCAGGCTGGTGGGCGCTTTTGTCGCCACAAGTCTTTACCCCAATTATAAAAAAAATTACTCCATCTTTACTAACAGAAATCTACACTCGAGTGCAAAATATGCATTTCATGCACATTAAACGTTTGGAAAAACATCTCACAATATTCTGTACATCTGTTTCATCTGTAACATCTCACAATATTCACAGTGAAGGGATGATCTCTTACCTAGAACTCGGGGGCGCCTGGACGTAGTTCCGGCGATCTCGCCACCGAAATGGATTTTTCCATGAAGATCGCGTGACTACCCGTATCCGCACTTATCACAATGCAGACGATACACTACGGATATTAGTAATAAAAACACTCTTCGCGGTTTAACCAAACTAACTATGCTATACAACTCCGCGTAGAATCACGATTCAAACAATTACCGATTTAGCTCAAATGCATCATTCACCAACATCCGTTAAGATATACATTAACTGAACTGAAACTAATCTAAACTGCTATTTATTTTTCTTCTTCATCAAACATCTATGTTTTTCCTACATGAAGCACCCTCAGCAGCATCAAGTGTACACATTTAAATACAGAATTACACGTTCATTTGCAGTACCACCAGGAAAATGAAGAGATTCCCCACTATATGGCATAATTTATGCAGCTAAGAATCTAAGTATTTATCTAATTTCTCTTCAGCACACTTAAGCCTAACAGACAGGCTTCTGCCAGTTCATCGAACTTCTACGTATGGGCGCTATACTGCGCGACGCGACCTCACTCGACGAGCGCTGACCCGCGAATGGTAGCATGAGGTTGACCTCCATTTGTTGCTACATAAACTCGTTCGTACGCTTCTGAAGAGTATTGAAGCCTTTCGGGCAAGTGGCAATAAAATCCAGTATGAAATAACTCTCACGCTTTCAGGAAATAATTAATGAATGAGAGTAAATACTTTATCCATTACTCCTAGTAGGAGCGAGTCTTATTAACTAAGTATACTAAGCGAGAAATTACTGAATTCACACGAGGTCACTTTGCTTTCTTACTCGACCTCATATACATTGTTTCTGTGGAGATGCCTGTACCGATTTTAACTCCAGCTGGAGGCTACGTTGTCTAACGTGGCAATGAAGCGGCCTTTTTCGTGCTACTGTGATAGTGCGCTAGGTCATGCTAGGAGTTAAGCGCACGCATCGCTTGTACCACTTTGTTCCTCTTTACAACAGTGAAATTGGTGTGATTTTAATGAATTTATTCGTATTCAGCATATTAGGACTCAATTTCGATGTTTTACACAAGCTCAAGTGACATCGAGTAATTATATATGGGTTTGAAGGAGAAACTGTTACGCGACGTCATAACCAATGTAAATTTTAACTCTCCCGTCGCTCGGTAAAGAAATGAAATTATCAATGAATGGCTAGCTACAATTATAAAATGAAAATATTGGTCACTTTTAAATGAAACAGAAAAAAACTGTGACAAAGCAAGAAAAAAATTAGGTCAAATCATTAAAATCACTGATATTCGCAAGCTATAATGAACGAGCAGCAGTTAATAGAAGATAGCTTTAACATTGAAGCTATCACAAATCAATCTTTCAAAATTGTTATTGCCTATAAATTATTAATTTGGTGTGCTTTCAATATGGGAGTTATATTATCTTCTCTTCAAATTTTTTTATACTAGGAATAATAGCGATTCTCCTCGGCTATTTCGGCGATCCTGCTGCAAAGCGAACTCCTCTTCTTACCTTCACATCTAATAAGCATATTGACTGAAAACGCTGTTTAAATTAAACGAATTGCACAAAAATATGGCTTTGATTCAGGATCTTTCCAGGTTATAAAATATATGATTGCGCAATTTGACTTCGAGTTCATTACTTTGCAGTTGACCCTAAAATTATGAATGTGGGAAAATTTTCTTGTCCAGCCAACGTTTTCTAGCTTTCTATATTAGACTATGACTATCCTAACGCTATGTAATCGGAATATGCTAATATATACGAGATGAAATGAAAAAGTGTTTTATTTTTAGTAGATCTTAACAACGAAAAATATGAGAAGTGAATAAATAATCAATGTCAACGCAGCATTATCCACGGAAACAGGGCCTAATTTCATAATCATTAACGATTCGTCGTCCTTTCTTAATTAAAAATTTTCAAGAAAATTACCTAATTGACAAGAAGTTAAGCCCTGCTTTGACGTTGGCAATGTTCTACTTCGTTGGCTAACTTTCGAGTCGATTATCTTCTGACTTTCATCATCAAGAACTTAGTCTGGGTCCCCTTCCAGTAACAACTAAGTTTACACCCGGGAATGACATAATATTGAGAAACTAAATTAAAAGCAATTTCTATGAGCAACTCATTCATCAGTCCAAAATGCACAACTACTTTTAAAACCTCTAAAAACGCAAATATCAGTAATAATATGAGTTACTTCAATCTCTGCACAAGCTATGATTCGGTGATGAACCAAATCCCAATACAATAAATGAAGGTAAATAAGAAAACATAGTAACGAGTAAAGTTTTCTTATGAAATTCGCTTCTTCTTAGTACTCAGTATCTCAAGTATGCGACGCTTTCTTTGCTTACACCTTAGTGGGAAGAGTAGCACAAAAATAGTCAACAGATGAGGTCGATTAAAATACTATCGAAACTGTCACACGAGATCTTCCCAAACAAAGTCAAAAAAAGTGAATAAAAATACAATAAAAATATAACGCGACCCATAATAAGTTTGAACAATGAAAATGAAAAAATTGAGATGAAAATGACGCCATGAGCACCGAGCTTGACTCACACGTGTTGGAATGAAAGCTCTCTTAACCCTCTCAGGCAAACATATTGCAACAAAGATTAATTAAGCAGACTATACCGTCTCTACAATAAATATAGAGTGATTTATGCAACACAACATATAAGATATCACGGAAGCCGCTGCTGCTCTAAGATCGGGTGTATTTGCCCCAGATGTGTAGCATGAAGACGGTAGCGATGAACACTAGTGATCCAACGAGCACGGGCAGGGGTCCTCTGTGGCATAGAAGTCAGAAAGTCAACAATAATGAAACAGATATAAAAGAAATCATTTATTTATGACCTGTCGATAAAAATATGCAAACAATATACAGACATCCTGTTAATACAACAACACATGCGAAAAGAACAATTGCAGGTTGTTTTGTTTGCAACATGATATTCTTGCCATCACAACGCTCAAGAAGCTATGGTATTATTTCATGCTGATACATCACTTCTTTAATTTTTCTTACTTTTTTAAAAGTATAAACCCATATTAATCATCCAACATGATGAGAGCACAAACATTTTATAGGTACAATACTTGAATATACAATTTACAATTGAACACTTAAGCTACTCGGAAAAGTACAAAATAATGTGAAAATATAAATGCAGCCCAAAACTTTCATGGTAGGTTGCACAACAACAAAAAAATCCCATTCAAGTATCTTGCACAATGTAGTTTATTTATGTTAGTTTAGTAAATTTTTCAAGTAATTTTAGTGACAATGAATGCTGAACACCATCAACATCAAGTCTTGTTTGCTAAAAAAAAATTCTGTCTCACTTCAAACTAACAATTGAGAAATACAACAGTTAAAACCCAATTGAGAATGAACAATGTAGTAGGAAGTGAACATACACTTTGATACCAGGAGAGTCGTCAGTATAGAATCGCCACATGCCACCGGTGGAAGCTGTAGTTCTGGCAGCAGTTGAGGAGGTGGTGGCAGGCTTGCGCTGTCTCACAGTAGAAGAACCGGAGCCTACTGGTCTGCTAGCTGACAGGGCACCACGACTCACCGTGCGCCCACCAGCTCCAACATTAGTAGCCATTGGTGACACTGCCTGAGGTAACATATTGCATATAAGACAAAAAAAAAAAAAAAAAAAACAATAGCGTGGCTGTAGATGATCAAGTTTGAAATATTTTTTTTTTTCAATTTTTGAAGATATGGCAAAATATTCTCTTCCTTTATGTACGGTATATCTTGAGTGAAATACATGGACTGAGCAAGTAACTAGCATGTTCAATATTGAAGTTGTGACCCACTTTTCTTAGAAATGCTTTCTTTATTATGATGTTGCACAGCATAAAGGGGAGTTGTAGGACTGGGCAGTTACTATAGCGGGCAGTTATCCTCATTCGGTTGCGCACAATCATGCCAAACATTGCAATGTTCCAGTGTCCCCACGTGACTAAGGTTTTAGTTTCTAGTTTTGGGGCTTTTGATCTGCATATTTTAGAATCACTGCATATTTTCAAAGAGAGGCCTAGTTTAAATGCAGCATTAAGTTCTTATCCACTAGAAATTGCAAATAGACTAGTTTGGTCTGTATTTTTTCTTCCTTTTTTTCACTCAGTATTTCATTTCTAAACTAAGGTTTTGACTTCAGTCTGATTTTTCTAATTTTGACTGAATTAACTTTTGATTGTATTTGTGTTCTAGATTTTTTGAACTGACGATGGAGCTGGACTTGAACACAATTTCAGTAGATATACTATGGTGAGTTTGCATGGAGTTTTCCTTGCTTTTAGATATTAGTGAATTAGCCATTCAAGAAATCTATTGTCAATAATAATTTTCTTAGATATTTCATGGTCAGTTTTCTTGAACTAGTGAAACTATGATATTCCCAATAATTTGGGTTAAGGAAAATTATTTAGATTTATGCAAGTTTGAATTAGGGATAAAATTTGAAATTTGATGTAAAACCCACAACTTCAAAAATGATACATTTGCTTGAAACGAATTTACCTATGTTGGAAAGTGGATTAACAGCTTGAATAGAGAACATGAAATTTATGTCACAATAAAAAACAATTCAGGAAAATAGTCAGGCCCCAAAAATCCAATTAAAGCTTGGGCAGTTAATATTTTCAACCCTAGTAAGAGAATAGATATATTTACACTCGACAGTCTGGCATGCATGTGTTGAAAATTCAACACATGACCTACTTACATTTTCATTATTAAACCTCTTCTGGCACCAGGCATAGATAGTACATACATGCATGAGAAAAATTAATTACAGGCAAGATTAACTTTCTGAAAATTGCAAACATTTACAATAACCTAAGCTAGTATAATCTTGGTAACACCAAGGTGAAGAATATCCAAAATTTGGTTTGAAATATTGTGGCACACAAAACTGTTGTTCCATAGACATCTACAATTCTGTGGTTCACTACACCTGGGTGCATACTGGTATTTAAAGAAAAAATCCATGACTTTTCCATGACTCTCCATGACTATCAATATAATTTTCCAATACTTGTTATGACTGAAAGACTAACTGTGCATATTCTATCATCTCCTACAGTTGATGAATAGCAAATGTGTAAATGCATAGAGCAGGCAGACACAGTCACACAGAGGAACAGATATGATACAAATCTGAAAATCAAGCCCACACTGGTATTTTTATGAATTCAATACCGTCAACCGGGGCTACTCGGGACGGTTTTGAGCGTTTTTTGTTAATAACTTCTTACGATGAAACATTTCATAAACAAGTTTAGGCTCATTTTATAGCTCTTTGCGAGGGCTATCGAATGGCATCTTCGAAAAAATTCCATATGCTATTTGTAAGGTGCCAGAAGCAAAAAAAGAGTGTCCCGAGTAGCCCCGTCGAACGGGGCTACTCGGGACACTGGGAATGAAACTTCATTTTAAAACACTTGAAGCATGCAGAGCATACTCATCCATTACTAACAGTACTCTGAAGTCTGCCTCTTTCATTGTAGATGATGTAGAGTGCCGTGCGGAAATGGCCGCCATTTTTTTTTGGAATGAGATAGGCAAAATCTGCCAATTACGTTTTCAAGCCGACACCTGGGTGCAACTTTTATGTAAGTAAAATTTTTTAATACGGCAAATATTTTTTTTGCTACAGACCTTAGCATTAGTAACTTTTCAAAACAGTGTTTTTCACCATTTTTTCAGGAATTTTTCAAAGCTAGTAAATGTCGTATTTTTTGACTGCCTTTATACTACATAGATAGGAAAAATGTTGACGTTTATGCCACTATATTTAGTTTTGCAATATTCCAACTAGTTTTGCTACCATAACAGTTTTACGCCGTGTTGGAGGTGCGTCCCGAGTTGCCCCGGTTGACGGTAGTGTCAAATCACAACAAATATTGAGTAATACATACAAGATTGTACATAATGATGCCAATACAGTTCAGAACACTCTTCAATACCACTACCCAAACATTCAACTAGCAGCTATTTCATCAATGTGTTATTTAATGTACCGTTCAAGAGTGTCTAGCTTTGTTTTCAAAGATCATCTCATAGCGTTGAACTTAGCGATATTTTTGAAGTCCCCCTTTCTTTCCATTGCTTCTGCATATTCATCTACTGCATGCTCAAGCATCTTGATGCCCTCCTCTGTACGCCTTTTCTTCTTCTTTGGTTCATCTAGCTCATCCCACAAAGCCTTCCTCTTCAGGGTTTTCTGGGCCTTCGCATTTTGCTCTTTCTTTTCTATCAAATAAGTATTGTAGGCTGTTTTGACACTATCAGCTGCAAGCAGCATCTTTTTAGTGATCCAGGCCATCAACATGTGCAACATGATCAACCACAGCACGCAGGGCAACCACCATTTGCTCTTTCATGTAGTGTCATGATTCCCTTTTTGAACAAAAACCCTCTTTCAACCATGGCTTAGCCATGAGACAGGAGCATGAGCATCTGCACTATATTCCAGAGCTTCTTGTTGGTGGTCTTTGACAGAATGGCATGCCAAAAAGTGTCCAGTTGATCAGAAGTAGAAAATGCTTAAAACTGTGCATTCAGTTCACTGCAAAGTTGTGATTCATATTTAAAGTTGCACATCTCATTGCACAACACGATCCACATCTGTGTTAGGGAATCTCTGGGCATCAATAAGCAAACTGAGACAGTTCTTCAACTGCGTCTTGTCAGCTTCCTTCCAGTCCTTCTTGATGAAGGATTTTGGCACCAGCCATCTCAGGTTCCTACTAAGGCCAATGACCATACCTCTTGGCACCAAGTTCAAAGTATTGAGATACAGAGTCTGCACAGAGATCAGGATGCCACATTGCTAGTTGGCATCAGATGGCACAGAAATTTAGGAGAAGCAACTAGTTTGAAATCTCGGAAATTTGACGAGTACTGAAGCCACGTTCGATGCCCATATAGAGGAATTAGTTGTGTGAGCCAGCAACAGATAGGGTGGATATGGCAAACATTTAGAATGAGAGAAGCAGCACCAATGATTACACTCATCAGAGCCCTTGTGCTCCTCAATCTTGAATATTGCTGCCAACTTTGGTCACCACTCAAGGCGGGTGCGGCGCGGAAACTAGAGGCAGTGCAGTAGACCTTCACGTACAGGATCAGCGGCATGAGGGAGCTGAACCTGAACTACTGGGAAAGGCTGAAACACCTGGGACTGTACTCACTGGAGAGGAGAAGAGAAAGGTATATCATACTGTACACTTGGAAGATGATAACCAGACTGGCTTCCAACTTTGGGAGTGAGACCTCCAGAATAGTGACACGTTATAATGAAAGGAGGGGAGAACATGCAGGGTTCCCCCATTCAATAACCAAGCTGTGGCCAAAGTACAGACTCTTCGTGAGGTATCACTGTCCGTTGTAGGACCGAGGACCTTTAATGCCCTGCCAAAAGAGCTGAGAGGAGGGGAGTTCACCCTTGCAACATTCAAGAGACGACTGGACAATTTGTTGAGAAAGATCCCGGATTGTCCAGTAATGGGAAACTACCCTCAGCAAGTAACAAGCAACAGCTTCTTGCATCAGCTGGCCCAAAGGGGGCAAATAGACAGAACACGTCCAACATTACATCCAGGACCTGAGGGCGGGGTGACCTGCCTAGCTACGACTTGGAGATGGAGGACAACGAAGGTGGCGCATCAGCATGACTGGGGACTAGGAAGTCCTGAACTCTTCATAAGGTCATAAGGTTCTCCAGTAACTTTTGGACTACAGCCTGCACAAAGTCCCATGCTCATGTCTTGAAAGTGAGTACTTGCAGTGCACTTGCCTTCTTGTCTGCAAGCTATTTTTAGTGCATTTTCTCATTTATGGAAAAAAGGAACTGTTGTGCTTGTCATGTCCAACCGTCTGTCTCTCCGTCCATCTGTCCATCCATGACCACATTTTTGTTGACAAAAAAATGCACCCTCTCTCACTCACTGCAGTGAGTACCAAGTTATATTTTTTATTGCGATCCTGGCCATGTAACCAACATCAACCTTATTGAGGAAATCAAAATGCCTTTTATTCCATGACTTTCCATGACGTGAAATGAAATCCAATGACTTTCCAGGCCTGGAAAATGAAAAATCATATTTAATGACTTTCCAGGTATTCCATGACTGGTACACACCCTGTACCACACAAGCATTGTATTTCTCTTACTGAAACATCTTCGTTTGTATTTTCATGGTGAAAAATAAAATGTTTGTATTTTCTTGTATGTATTTTTGTATAATATTTTATTAAATGTTTGTAGACTCCTGTGTTTGGTATTTTTTTTATCCGAGACGAGACAAGACAACAGGCTCTGTCCCAGTTTGCAATAAAAACCAGGACAATTTTCAGCGCTCCATAGGAATTCCGGGACAATACCACGACGAGATGAGACATCCCGGTTAAAATAGGTAGCTTAAAATTTTCCAGAATTTATAGCCACTTTAACATGACATAGTGAGAAGAATCAATTATTGATATCGTGTAAACTTTGGCTTACCATCATACATTTATATAATAACTTGAGACGTATCCTTTTACTATTCTCATTGGAGCTCGGCAATTGAAATTATTTTTGTTAGGAATACATGTTGTGGTTTA